ATCATTACTGTTTCATTAGAAACACCGACGCAGCTCACACTAGTTTGTAGCTAGTTATATCTTTTTACAATGCACCCCGTTTATTATGGAACTCAGAGAATGTCTGGGAGTCGAAGATCAAGTTACTAAGTCAAACAAAGTGCATTGCGGTATAGCTCGGGTAGAGACAACACCAGATGAATCTCAAACGGCAAATGTATAATTAGGTCATTGCAAATGCAATACGATGGAAAAAGAAAAATGAAAATGTGAAAATATCTATTGATTTGTTACTTACATTCCCTTTTGCTCCRTTGCCGTACAAACCAAATTCACACGCCAACGCCTTCCTGGGGAACGATGTCTGGCGACTGAACTCTTCTTGTAAGAAAGAGGAGTGTTTCTGTGTTGGAGGAAAGAGAAAAGAGGAAAAAACAAATATGAAATTGTATAACTATTAAGCTATTTTACCCCATTGCGCTAGATATTAATACCAATGTTTTGTAGAGAATGCGAAGAGATATTTTAATGTAATATTTGTTGTTATTTGGTGTTACCTGGTTTGGTAATGCATTCAGGATAGATGCACACAGCATTATGCGACCAGTATCAGCCAGTTTATTGGTGAATGCCTGGGGATTGCAATATTTACAACGATTAGAATAGTCACTATCAATTCATCATTTCATCATCATATCTGAACGTCAGTGTTATCATCATCATCATTATGCATTACCATTATCATCATCGTCATCATTAACGCCATCATTATCGTCATCATCATTATCGTTCACCATCATGATCATCATTGCTATCATCATCATTATCGTCATMATCACCATCATCATCATCACCATCATCATCACAAGCCATCATGATCATGATCATCATCGTCATTATCATCATCATCATCATCCCCATCGCCATCATCATCGCCATCATCACAAGCCATCATGATCATCATSATCATCATCATCATAGTCGTCGTCATTATGGTATAACTTACCTGTGCTTGTCGTTTCAGGAATGCTTTATCAGGATCAACTAACTCCAGCTTCAGTTGCGGACTCGGGAATCCCTTTCTAAACGAGAACACATCACGCACAAAGTCTCTTTCCTCCAGGATTTGATCTTCAAAAAAACAAGATAAAAACCAACCTCAATTAAAACTCCTTGATAGACATATTGGGTTGAAAGAATCAATAAACTGAATTAGGCAAAAAGTGTGGAGTGTGGGGTGTGGAGTGYGGAGTGTGGAGTGTGGGAGTGTGGAGTGTGGAGTGCGGAGTGTGGAGTGCGGAGGGTGGAATTGTCTATCTTACCTGATTTAGTGTCGATCAAATACAAGTTAGGTTCTTCAAGGTTGAAGCGAGAACGAAGATAAGAGATAACTTTACCGAACGTCATGTCCTGCCACAAATAAGTCTCAATGTTAATAACCTCGCGTACAGGGGAACCTCATACGAAAAGCACTCTATTACTGAACGTAAGTGCTAAATGTAACGCACTGACTGACTGACAGTTACTTACGTCGTTGACTGGAATTCTTTCAGTCATACTCTCTTTTTCACAGCAAGTGACTGCTAATTTCTATTTWAAAAAAAGAGTTTTACGTTTGAGTTACTCGTTAAGGTAACAGTATCTGATCCAGAACCTTAACCGCGGATGGCGAAAAATAGCATATCTGAGAGCGCAAAATTTGAAAACACGTTAATCTCTGGTTCCCTAGAAACGTGTGCCTTCATCCCCCCAACCCCACTTCTTCCCCGTTTGTCCCCGCCCAAACTATAAACTTTAATTCCGGTTCCGGTTCCGGTACGCAAACTTAAAATTCCCAAAACAAGAGAAATAAATACTATGGACCTTTATCACATGGCGGCCATGTTTATTCTCATGAGAATAAAAACCTTTGTTTCACACGCATAAATTAATTCTCAAGCGCTTGAATACGAGGTTACGCGTGGTAAAATCTATTGTTCAATCCAACRTGGCTGCTGCGTGAATAAGGCTTATTGCGTGACAAAACTTATTTCATTTCAATCAAAAATCGACCAAAGCTAACCTTAGTTCCTGGTACATTAGCAAAGACCAGCATTGCACCCTACATGGGAGAGAGAAAGAGAGAAAGAGAGGTTAGTAATGTTATGTAGTAGGGTTCTTTGAACGATGGTCAAAACACTGATCAACATGTGTGTGTATATGGAGAGAGAAAGAGAGAAAGAGAGGTTAGTAATGTTGTGTAGTAGGGTTGTTTGAACGATGGTCAAACACTGACCAACATGTCCTGTCAGCCAGAAAGAATTCTATGAAAAATTGTGAAATCAAGGAATACTGGTGTTTACGTCATACTTACTTCACAATGTTCCTTCCTCAAAGACTGTTTGATGTCCTTGAAATACAAACCGCGTACACTGGGGACGAGCTGTGGACGACAAACATCCAAACGAGGCTGTTACTGACACTAAATTTTCTATTAATATTCTTAGACTTGACGTATAAATAGTTCATATTAGTTTTCAAAAGTACACATAATCTTTAGGAAGAATCATCATTATTCTTCTCCGTGTAATGCTTGTTTTGCTTTCGTTCCACTGGGAATACGAGTCACAAGGACAACATCTAGGACCTTCTAGATCGAATCAAAATTTTAGAAGTTTTGCGGATGGAGGAAAAACCCGAGAAAAACCCTCGAAGCACAGGAGATAAACAACGCTACTCACATGAAAAACCAAGTTCAGGAATTGAACCCGGTCGCATTTCTTCTCTTATATAGGTGTATATAACGAGAAAAGCTAACTATGAATATTTATAAAAATACCCTKCCAATGTGTGCTCTGATTGGTCGAAATGCTCAAGAAAATTCTCACGTCATCCTTTTCCTAGCGCTCTGAATTTGCACTTCCGCATTAAAATATTTTCATTTAAGTTGTGCTSTTGTGATGCTAAGAGATCAATGCGTTCTTACCTCCCATGTTAGTGACAGGATGAGAGCTACTGAGTCTTGTGCTCCAGCTCTGTTCGTACGTGCGTAATACATTACGACTCCAACCTTACAATCAATGGGAGGACATTTATACACTTGCAATAATGCACAATAAACAAACAAAACAAACAATTATACACAATATATGCTTTCAGGGCATGGGCGTGGTCAACAAGCAGGGCGTGGGGGGGAGGGGCAGAGATCCGAGCATCACAGGGCTGCAAGAGGCCTAGTATTGCAAAGGGTGTCAGGGAATGGATTAGTACAATCATCTTAAGAATATAGGCCCGTCATGGAAGAAGAAGAGCTGATCTTACCAAGTTATTCAACAAGAACCTAGCAGCTGCAGGTGGAAGCTTGTCAATATACATGAACAGCTTTCTGATAAGAACGATTAGCTCTTCCTGAAATAATAATGTAGTCAGGAAAAGGTTTTTTATTATCAACCTTGTTTACCTTCGCTGAAATCATCAGTCATTAAAGCCACCACCATCATCATCATCACTATGATCATCATTACCCTCATTATCATCACCCTCATCATCATCA